CAACTGCAGTAAATAAAGTAGCAACAGTTTATTTTCCACGGTGATAAATGGAACCGTCTTCAAACACACGCCATACCAAACAAGTGCCATGTGACCATTCTCCAAATAAATTATCTCATCTTTGTCAGGTCGGGAATTTCGCCGCAATTCCGCTTTTCTGCAGGACAAAAGTTCTAATTTTGCCAACGTTCCCAGTTCACGTCCTTTTGCTCTCGGGCACCAGCAACTTCATCATTTTCAGGTACTTTTCATTGGAATACGCCAAGTGCACGTTCTACATTGTTTCACAATTCTATTGGCAATTTTGCGTTTTCCAGATTACAACGATTTGACAAAATTGAGGGAATCTACTGCTACAATTGGCAGAAGTTTGGATTTTTTTAAACAAAACTGTCGCTTTTAAACTCTAAGTGTTCGAGCAAAGTTTGGCCAGTCGTAAAAAATCAAGATCAAGTGAAATTCGGCTGAACTTTTCAGGTGTTTTAAATTGAAATGGCTCCGATAAACCGAGAAAATTGCAAGTTTCTACTTCGACTAGTTTGGATAGTGTGATTTTTTAAAATCGAAGTGTTCTTTTAAATCACTCACGGATCGCAGATTACAAGGAAGCGAAAAATAAGAATCCTTAGAAATTGCATTGAAATGTACTTAGATTCAAATGGCTCCTATAAACTGGCAATATGGCAAGTTTTTAATTGTTTTAGGTCGAAAGTTCTAACTTTCTCAAAACGGGATTGTCCGCATGAACCGCTCAATTTTGGAGCAAAGTTTGCCAAGTCGCGACAAAAATCTAAATGAACCGTAATATTATTAAATTTTTCGCAGGATTTATTTTGAAATACCTCCTATCAACTGACAAAAATTGATTGAAATTTCTATTTGATCTGGTTCGGACATTACGAGTTTTAAAGCAAAATTGTACTTTTGAAACGCTCACTTTGGCAGCAACAATTTAAAAACCGCGAAAAAATCAAAATCAGCAGGGATGTTGCTGCTATTTTTACGATTTAGGTTGAAATGTGTTTTATTAACAACGAAACATGCATGTTTCCACGTTTGGATTTTTAAACAGAAGACTGTTCCTTTTAAATCCTCACTTTTGTAGCAAAAGTTGTCATGCCGCGAAATAATCAAAACCAGCAGGATTTTTGTTGCAACTTTCACCTGATTTAGACTGAAATATGTTTTATGAACGGCGAAAATTCCAAGTTTCTACTTGTTTCGGTTTGGAAGTTTTGATTTTTTTACAACAAATCTGTTGTGTCTTTGAAACGCTCACTTTTGAACCAAAAACTTCCAAGCTGCGCAGAAATTAAAATCAATAAAATTTCATTGCAATTTTGAACTGACTTAGATTGAAATGTTTTCTAGAAAACTGGCCAAATAGCAGGTTTTTACTTATTCTACATTCGAAGTTACGACTTTTATAGGAAAAAATTGTTGTTTTGATGCGTTCAGTTTTGGAGCGAAAAGTCCTTAGTAGCGAAAAAAAATCAACAGATATTTTCTTGGAAATTCCCTGTAACTTCTATTTTTCTATAAATACAGAAATTTTCAAGTTTCTACTTGTTTAAGTTTGGAAAATGCGATGTTTTAAACAAAAGATCATCGTTTTGAAACGCTCACTTTGGATCAAAGACTCCTAAGGAGTATAAGATCAAAATCTACAAGGATTTTAGTGATTTTCACCTGACTTCAAATTTCAAGTTTCTACTTGGTTACGTTTGGAAGTTCTGAATTTTTAAATAGAAAATTGTTCCTTCTAAACACAAATTTTGGAAACAAAGATTTCCAAGACGGGAAAAAACCAACCTCAAATAGTATTTTATTGAATTTTCACCCGATTTAGATTCAAATGTTTGTTATGAACTGAGAAAAGTGCACAGCTCTACTTGTTCCCGTTTGTGAGTTCTAATTTGTTACAGCAAGACTGTTTCTTCGAAACGCTCACTTTTGAACCAAATATTTCCAAGCTGTGCAAAAATCAAAATAAAATTTTTTTAGCACTTTGAATTGACTTGGATTGAAATATCTTCTAAAAAAACTAACCAAATGGCAGGTTTTTGCTTATTCTAGATTAGAAGTTACGATTTTTAAAGGAAAAATTGTCGTTTTGATGCGTTCACTTTTGGAGCGAAAAGTCCAAGTCGCGAAAAAATCAAAACCACCAGATATTTTCTGGCAAATTTCCAGTAATTTAGTTAAGTTTGAAAGTTCTGAATTTTTAAACAGAAAATCGTTCTTTCGAATCACTAATTTTTGACCCAGACGGGAAAATTTCCAAGACAGGAAAAAACCAAAGATTTTATTGAAATTTTCACTCGATATAAATTCAAATGTTTGTTATAATCTGAAAAAAGTGCTTGCACCCTTCTACCTGCTCCAGTTTCGAAGTTCAGATTTAAAAAAAAACTGTGTCTTCGGAACGCTCCTAGATTGAAATGTCTCTTATTACCAGAAAAAATTGCAAGATTCTACTTGATCAAGTGTGGATGATCGACATTTTTTAAATCAAAATTGTCCCTTTAAAACGATCACTTTTGGAGCAAAAGTGCAGAGCGAAAAAAGAGCAAATAAGCTCAGGAAAAATCAAAATCGATAAGAATTTTATTAAAATTTCAATTGGGAAAATTACAAGTATCTACTTGTTCCAATTCCAATGTTCTTTCGAAGCGCTCTATAGTGAACCAAAGATTGCCAATCTGTAGCAAATCAAATCCCAATAGAAGAGCGAATAAAAGAGAAATCACACATAATAAAAGTGCAAACAGATGCCTGAAACCCGCAACAAACGGTTTTGACTTGCAAAGAGCGCTTAACGAGACCAATCTACCGAAGCTGTGGAAATTACTAAGGCAAAACCCCGGACACACTAGACTATCTTTATACGGGAAAGCGGCTAATAGCCGAAGTCTTTTATACCGATAAATTGCAAAACTGGATGCCTGCCACTTTGTCAACAGCGCATTTCCATCGTGAGAAAATGAATCCTCTGATGTTGAAGTCGTCGTCGTCTTCAATAAATAAAAAGGCAATTTGTTCGGCATTTGTATCGCAATTTTGCAATTCCAAGCCGTGCTTTGTGAGTGAGGGACTTGAGATTTTCTTCGCTTGCAACTGCTGAGGAAAACGCCATTATGAAAACACCCTGTACAATGCAGTGCTACTGACAGGCTATTTGAGGCGCGAGTAAATAACATATCAATTTCCACTGCATATACGGAGGAGGAAATCGGATGCAAAAAACGCGCCCTGAAAGGTGCTTTGTGAAGTTCCACTCCTGCATGCGGAATGGAGAACCGCTTAGAGCTAATGTGTTTCCAGTGACGTGCTTTTGAAAGTTTTATGCCCAAACAGTGTGTTTTTTTCGCAATTTTCCGCCGGTGTCTTTGACAAATTAAGACAATTTAATCACCCTTCAAAGCGGCTTGAACATCCCTCATCGTTATGTACCGTTGTCGTCTTTTTCGCAATAAAATGTTGCCAAGTTGGCTTTATCTAAGACTGGCGTGTTGTATTTTCACAAAAGCGCTTTATAAAATGCCCCGGAAAGGAAAAATGGAGCTTCCATGTTAGAAAGCGGCTATTTATGATTATTAAACTCGCCCCAGTAGGAAAAAATTGGCAAATATCTGCTCTTCCTCATTGCGCGAATGGATGAAATGGTAGAGGGCAATAATGGGGGATCGTTTGCGAAATGAGGAGGACAGCTTTCACTTAGTTCGCTCTATGTGTAGCGGGGCAAATGTTTGGAAGTCACGATATTTTTCAAATTTGCCCTCCTCCAACTGAAGTTCTGGCGAAATAAAAACCGGATTTTCCACTTAAATGATGCCACTCGATTCATTCGAGTTCAGTGCGGCGAGAATTGATTAAATGCCCGGATCCAAACAAGAACAAACTGTGATTTTCCATTAATTGAAAATGCGATTAGGGCCTTAGTTTAGTCCACCAGTTGCCCTCGCAAGGGTTGAGGGTTATTAATCTTCAATAGAATTGCCCGTTCCAGGCGGCAAGTGTTTATTTTTCAATGTTGGCCATGGCAAATATCTGACATTCTTCCATAGCACATGGGGCGAGTTTCCAGCCGAATTTCCTGACGCATTTTCGCTGAAAGTTCTGCAGATATTGCGCTATCAGACCCATATTTTACAAAAATGACTTCAGCCACATAAAATATAATCTTTACACGCCATTTACGGAGCCATCTTATATCCGCATCGCCTGTCCTATATTCCTGCCTCGGCTCTGCCATACGTTATCTCAGGAACCGGAACATCCGGGATTAATATTCCCCTTTTTTAGCTCCAAACTGGATTGGAAGGAATCGGCATTTAAATTTAGGTGGCGGCATGTTGATTAAACACTCACACTTTGCGTTAACACGGTGAACACTGCGAAACTTCCAAACCAGAACTCGTAATGACTTGCAATTTTCTCAGTTCGTGCAAGACATTTGAGTCTAAAACTCAAACTAAAAACTGAAAAAATTTCTATTAAATCCCATTTTATTTTGAATTTTTCGCAGGCTTGGCATCTCGGCTCGGGAAGTGATAGTTCTCAATAATGCTCTGAACTTCCAAACATGAACACTTTCGTTTTTTCTTCCAAAATATCTAAGGGTTTCTGCAAAATCCCATCTGCATTTCAAGTCGCGACTCGCTTAAGTTTGGCAATTTTTTAAGGCAAAAGTGTCGCTTTTTGAGCGAAATTTGCCAAGTCGTTAA